ATTCGCTTGAATGTATAGTTGTTAGCTGCAGGCTGGTCTAAATCTCTCAACACAGCTATCAATCGCTACAAAATAGTGAAAAAATATATTTTTAAAATTGAAACCAAACTGCATATATACATAAAGTTTTCTACATTGTGCAATTTTAGGAAGTATGAAATAAACGAATATGTGGTTTTGCTATTCCTTAACAGTGAAAAGATTCCGCAAAAAAATTGTTTACATTGCCCAGCAGTGAAATTTTATGTTAAAAAAGTGTATACCTATTGTATATCAAGAAGTGGAGTTAAATCACAAAACGTCATATCAAATTTGACACTAGTATTACTATAGAGTCAAATCAGCTGGGGTTTTGCATTACGAAATATAAAATTAAAATTAGCATGTTTGATTGAAAAGATTATGGGGTGTAAAAAGTGATTATTCCGAATTGGTGGGAGTCGTCCGAATTAGTCCAGCAGTTTTTTTTTTTTTGAATTGTAAACGTAGCAATGGCACATGGCACAATAAAGACAAGGTAGGGCATAACAATCACCAGAATATATTTTTTTCTTTTGGTAGTCTATTAATGTCAAAACATGTATAACGTTTTTGTATTTGTATGTATTAGCTTCTTGGGATACAATACCTTTACTATTTGGGATGAAAAAGAATTGTGTTTATTGTATACCCAAAGTCTAGAGTTTTAATTTAATTCAGTTTATTTCATTAGAAAAGATTGTGATGTACAAGTTACAAGAGTAAACTATGAACTAACTACTAAAGAATACGGTATTGAGAATGTTAGTGAAAATAGGGTTGCCATCTGGCAGATAAAATAAAAGTGATGCCAATACCGAGTTTCCATATACAACATCTTTCGCCTCTAAGGAGGACATGGGCAAATTCCTCGTCAAGGACCAAGTATGAATACGCGTCAGTAATATTCAAATGGGCAAACACCGTTGAGCCTTTCATCCTGTTGAAAATATACTCCGCTTTCCGATTTGCCGATTTACGGTTGGTTTGTAGTTACCCGTAATACGTATACCTCCATTCTTCTTCGTCACTACATATGTAGTAGAAGTCCATTCTGAATACTTTACTCTTTCGTAAAATTCCGCCGCAATTTTAGCATCTATTTCTTTGGCATACGAATCCCGTAATGCGAATAGGATTTCTCGGGGTCTTGCAAATTTTGGCGTAGCATCTTGCTTTAATTGGACTTTAATAGGAGGACCTTTGAAATTACCGCTACATCACTGTATATATCTTTATGTTTGGCTAATAGCAGCTGTAGCCATTGCCGTTGATGTTCAGACAGTATGGGTTTTTACTGATATAGATGCTATCTTCTCTCCTGCCGCTGCTGGCAACTCCGTCCCCGCTGATGCTTTTATTGGGTCTTGGAACTATTCGGCAACATTTATTTCTCGAACAAAATGTGCGATCCACTCACAGTCAAAATCGACATCAACTACGTACAAGTTCAGCCTACGACTGGTTCTGCCCAAAGACACATTCACCACGGTACATCATATGCACGTAATCTTGTGCCCCGTATAACTTGACTGCTGGTGACTGCATTATGTTCTTTAAATTCTCCAAGCTAATAATACTACAAGGAGCACTAGTATCCAGTTCCATATCCACTTTCTTCCCGTCTATCTTCACTGTGACCATTTTCCGATCGAATGGCTCTTTTATTCTGACTGTTACAATCTGAGACGTATGTGCCTCCTCATCCTCATCTGACAACAACGACTTCTCTCTCTGCTTTGTATTTCACACTTGATTCCCTCTCTATTCGTTGTTTGACCATAGACAAATTAAGATATAGACAACGAAATGCTCTCACCGTTTATCTTCGAAAAAAATCGAATCAGCAGATGTCGTCTATATCGTTTCAGGGGTTTGAGTGGGAATATTGAAGTCACTCAATTCTAAAACGTTAAAAATAACAAAAACTGTAAGATATTTGTCAGTTAAAAATTGTTCCATAATAAAAGAAATGTGAAAAGTACGTGATGATATCAAAAAATTCCGGAATAATAAAGTGAAATTCTTGAAAAACGATAAAATGTGTTTTCGAAGTCGAGTGGGTTGAACGCGTAAATCAGCATGTTGACTATGCAAAACATGATGAGAGCCACCTGGATAAAAAGACAAAACTAACTTTTCGTTGTCTATATCTTAATTTGTCTATGGTTTGACCCTTAACTATGAAAAAACAACTTAATTCTTCACACAAAATTTTCTGAGCGAACATTCATATTTGTACCATAGACAAATAGAGGTATAGACTAAAAAGTTGTCTCATCTGTTATCTTCGAAAAAAGTGCTTCAATAGATGTCGTTCATGCTGTGAGATTAGTATAGTAGACTCACTCAATTCTCTCAAAATACAAAATATGGAATATTTGTATGATTCATTGTTATTTATCAATTAAAAACGAAAAAGTGACTTTGTTTACATTGACATTACCCAACTATGTCGTGAAATATAAAAATATATAACTTAAATAGCAGAAAAATGAATAAATTGTTTTCGAAGTCGAGTGACTTCACTAGCACTGAGTGACTTAACAGGCCCAAGATCAACCATAGTGACATCTGACGGAAGGGGTAAATTTTAAAATTTTTCAGTCTATACCTTTATTTGTCTATGTTTGTACATTGTTCAAATCAAATCACTCTCAGAACAACGAAAAAATATGTCCCATTCCTAACAAGTGAGAGCGTTTATTGAAAAAAATAAATTATGTAATTTAAAAATTAAAACTTGAAAAATTTTTGGGAAGACTGAAAATTATGAATGGAAACTACAATGCTGAATGGCGTATGTACTTTCAAACGAAAGTACATTTTTGAGTTTTGCCTTGTTAAGGCGAAGATCATATGTTTTATGATTTATGTGTTTGTTTTCTCTTTCGAGACGAGCTTAATGATCTGAAATTTGCAGTGAAAAGGAAAGCCAGATAGACACTATCACACACTCACCACTATGCGACGCGTTTCGCCGTTGGTTAAGCGGCTCATCAGGCATATTTGGTGTGGATGATGGCTTACAAGGGCCGTTCTCTGGAAAGTAGTATATATTTCGAACATATTGCAAATTAGCATATGCGAATTATACACTAGAAACTCTCCAGGTTCGACTCAAGTTCTATTGGCAGATCTTTTTCACAGCATGGATTTTTTGTCCACAACAACTACATTGCTTCCAATGCATACACTTGTTTTAGTGCTGCTTTAGGAAGACGGGTTAATGGCTCTGAACGTAGAGACGGCAACTTCTAGTTGGCTGCACACCGAGGTCCGCGGTTCAAATCCCACAGCCAGGCTCGGCTGAATTTTTGAGTTTTGCCTTGTTAAGGCGAAGATCATATGTTTTATGATTTATGTGTTTGTTTTCTCTTTCGAGACGAGCTTAATGATCTGAAATTTTCACTGCAAATTTCAGATCATTAAGCTCGTCTCGAAAGAGAAAACAAACACATAAATCATAAAACATAAAACATATGATCTTCGCCTTAACAAGGCAAAACTCAAAAATTCAGCCGAGCCTGGCTGTGGGATTTGAACCGCGGACCTCGGTGTGCAGCCAACTAGAAGTTGCCGTCTCTACGTTCAGAGCCATTAACCCGTCTTCCTAAAGCAGCACTAAAACAAGTGTATGCATTGGAAGCAATGTAGTTGTTGTGGACAAAAAATCCATCACTACAAAAACAAAAAAACTTTGCTGTGAAAAAGATCTGCCAATAGAACTTGAGTCGAACCTGGAGAGTCTCTAGTGTATAATTCGCATATGCTAATTTGCAATATGTTCGAAATATATACTACTTTCCAGAGAACGGCCCTTGTAAGCCATCATCCACACCAAATATGCCTGATGAGCCGCTTAACCAACGGCGAAACGCGTCGCATAGTGGTGAGTGTGTGATAGTGTCTATCTGGCTTTCCTTTTCACTGCAAATTTCAGATCATTAAGCTCGTCTCGAAAGAGAAAACAAACACAGAAAGTACATTTTGTTTTCTCTCTCATTCGAGGTACGCATTTGGTCCACGAGTTGAAATTTCCACAGAAAACTGCAAGCAAAAGAGGCATTATTTTCAAAATGTTTGTATCGGCAGAAAAAATGTTTGACATGTGTCTCTCCAGCAGAATTTAAAATTAGAAAAATATAAAAATATGTTCAAAATGTCAACATTTACACAAAAAGTTGAAAACATGAATGAAAATTGTAAAATTAATGATAGAAGAATACTTCGGAAGAAAAACAATAATTTCTTCTAGTCATATTAGTGAGAATTTCATGTATTTTTGAATAAATTCCCATTAAAATCAACAAAAAAAAAATGAAAAAAGAAATTATTTTACTATGAATTACGAATCGTGCCGTATGTACCTAATTCTGAGAGCGAACAACGTGATTGAAAGTGTAACGAGAACATAGCATAAGAAAGATTGTGATGTACAAGTTGCAAGACTAAACTATGAACTAACAACTAAAGAATACGGATTTGAGAATGTTAGTGAAAATAGGGTTGTCATCTAGCAGATAAAATAAAAGTGATATCAATATCGAGTTTACATATGCAACAGTGTTCGTATTAGAAACACGATATTGTGAAAAATCCTCGTCGCTTTCATTCATTTTTCACGAGTTTCTCTTAAATTGAGATATTGTGAGAAAAAGTCAAACATAAAAACAACTTGTTGCATTTGTTATTGATAAATTTGACTCTAGCTTCAGGGTTGTGTTATTCACATTTAATCATTCTGGCCTACCTTTTAATTACTGTACCATGTTGGAAACTAACATCTTTCTTATATATAAAGTCAGTTGTTATATATTTATTGTATTGTATTACAATATTTTTCTCCCATTGTGAATTCATGTTTTGGGAAAAAGAAAGAATATAAATATCAAAGGTTTGGCCGTAGAGAAACCATATGGGGACACCTTAACCTATAATGTGTAATCGTGCATGCATTTTATACTCTATGCCATTTTTAGATCGAGCTGAGGAAGGGAAAGTTTCAAGAATAAAACGTGGACACGTGGACTTGGAAGAAGCGTATTCGAAATATTATCAACGTATTAAGCAGAAATATCAGGACTTTGTAAAATATTTACTTGGATTTGATAATGGAGACCAACACAAGGATGTTCGCAATCCTTCGAAAAAAATTAAAATTCAAAATGGACGTTGGTATTACGCAACCAACAACACGGACCTTTTGCCGAGATACAAGACTACCCACAAGTCCAGGCAATTGATTAACGATATTAACGAATATGACGAATTGGAAAACAAGGCCCATGCATTAATACTACCTCAGCGCAAGATTATCAACGATTCCGCTAAATATACATCCACGACAAGAAACAATGATCCCTTTCTTTTAGGAAAAAATACTTACAATTATATCCTTGAGCCATCGTCGCTACGAAAGCCGAAATTGGGGAATATTTCAGATTACATTGAACAACTAAAATCACAGATGATTCGTAAAAGGGGAAAAAGGAATGCAAATGTGCCTATAGACTCCGAATCGGAATCAATCGATGAGTATAAAGAAGGGCGTAAAAGATTGCGTGGCCCTTGTGCAGATTTAGATTGGGACTCATTTGCAAATATCACAATAATTAGAGCTGGAAAGACATCTGGGAGAAACAGTATTGGGACAATATTAAGCTTGGAATGTAATGCGGGATTTCAGCTGAATATTAAAGGCCCGAATGCAACGGCAAGGTGTATACGTGGTTTTTGGAAGCCTGAAACACCGAAATGTATATCAGGTATTAAGGTCATATCGTATAATTTAGATGCATTTTTATTCCCCCCACCATAGTATGGAGAATATATTAAGTTTGTCATTCCGTTTGTAAAACTTCGAAATATACATTTTAGACCCCACAAAGTATATATATATTCTGATCAGCATAAAATTCTATGTGGATTTATCAATGTCCGTCCGTCTGTGGAAATCACTCTAGCTTCCGAACAAAATTAAGTAAGTTGATAAAAATTTACCCAAATGTGTATTATGTCTGTAACACTTTTGGTATTGAAATTTTGCTATTTAGGTCCACGTCTTCATAAAGCCCCCATATAACTGTACCCCCGATATTCGGTATTTTGATGATTTTAGCGACAATTTTTACCAGAATTGTTAAAAATTCGGTATTTGAAATTCGTAATAGATACTACAGCCTCAGAAAGGCTGCGAGCCATGTAGGTTCGTATAGCCCCCATATAACGGTACCCTCCGATACTCGGTATTTTAATGATTTAGCGACATTATTTACCGGAATTGTTTCAAATTTGGTATTTGAAGTTCGTAATGGATACTACACTCTCAGACAGGAAATGGGCCATGCAGATCCACATCTTCGTATAGCCCATAATATAACTGTACCCCCGATATTCGATATTTTGATGATTTTAGCGACATTATTTACCGGAATTGTTTCAAATTTGGTATTTGAAGTTCGTAATGGATACTACAGCCTAAGACAGAAAATGAGCCATGTGGGTCCACGTCTTCGTATAGCCTCCATATAACGGTACCACCGATATTCTGTATTTGGATGATTTTAGCGACATTATTTAGCTGAATTGTTTCAAATTTTGTATTTAAAGTTCGCAATGGATACTACTGCCTATGCCAGAAATTTGTCTGTGCAGGTCCACCTATGGTACCTCCCTATATTCGGTATTTTATTTATTTTAGCTACATTATAAACAGATTTTTTTCAGGTTTAGCATTTGAATATTATAATAGCTTATGACAAAAGTTGCCTATGCAGGTCCACGTCGTCGTATAGACCCTAGTATACGGCTACATTCGGAATCTTTAAAATTTTAATAGAATTTGTAATGGATTTTATTTATTTATTTTTTTTTTTTTTTGAAAATTGCCAAGTTTGTACCTAATGGTGGAGGGTATTCAAAGTTCGGCCCAGCCGAACTTAAAACTTTTTTACTTGTTATAATTGAACAACACGACAAATCTATACATTGACTATATAATTGACATCTGCATAATCATAGTGTTTTCAGGCACTGGTGAAAAATTCGTCAACTTGTACTTGATATCGATGTTTCTATTTTATACCCTCCACCATGGTATGGAGGGTATATTTAGTTTGTCATTCCGTTTGTAACACCTCTAAATATACACTATAGACCCCACAAAGCATATATATATTTTTAATCAGCATAAAATTCTATGTCGATTTAGCAATGTCCGTCCGTCTATTCATCTGTTAAAATCACTCTAGCTTCCGAACGAAATGAAGTAGGTGAATAAAATTTTACTCAAATGTGTATTATGTCTGCAGGACTTTTGGTATTGAAAATGGGCCATGTAGGTCCAGGTCTTCGTATAGCCCCCATATAACGGTAACTCCCGAAATGCGGTATTTTGATGATTTTAGCGACATATTTACCGGAATTGTTTCAAAATTGGTATTTGAAGTTCGTAACAGATACTCCGGTTTAAGACAGAAAATGGGCCATATCGGTCTACGTCTTCGAATACCCCCTATATAACAGTACCTCCCGATATTCGGTATTTTTGTGATTTTAGCGACATTATTTGCCGGAATTGTTGTAAATTTCGCATTTGATGTTCGTAATGAATACTACAGCCTATTACAGAAAATTGTCTGTGCAGGTCCACGTCTTCGAATAGCCCCCATATAACGGATACTCGATATTTGTATGATTTTAGCGGCATTATTTACCGGAATTATTTCACATTTTGCATTCGAAGTAATGAATTCTTCAGCCTATGCCAGAAAATTGTCTATGCAGGTCCACGTTTTATAACCTCCATGGTATATATTTTTGATGATTTTATATACATTATAAACAGATTTTTTTTCAAGTTTCTCATTTGAATATTGTAATAGCTTGTGACAAAAGTTGCCTATGCAGGGCCACGTTTTATATATATACGCCGTTCAACATTATACACTCCATTCATAATTTTAAATTCTCCTAAAAAATTTTTGAATTTCATTAAATTTTCTATTTTGCAGTTTGAAGTGCCATAATTGTGTTGTTAGGGATGGCATACATATTATCGGCGCTTAGAGAGTGATATAAATTGAAAATTTTTAAAAATAAGTGTTTGTTATGGCACTTTTGTGTGGGAAATTATGTGGTTATTCTATACTTATGCTCGAACAACGAATAGAGAGCAAACCAAGTGTAGGGAAAACGCCACATAACAAAATTTGTTCGTAATATCATGTTCTTATTGCAATTTTTTAATATGAGATACACAAAAAATTATTGCATCATTAATTTCACACATTTAATTCAGTTTTTAATTTTTTTCTGAAAAATTTGACATTAAAAATAAGTTGTTGTTCGCTCAGAAAATTTTGTATGGGGAATTAATAATTAAGGGTTGAACGATGAATCACCTTCCATTGGCAACACATATTTTACAGTAGTCGATAGTTTGTGTTTTATTTCATTTCACTGTATTACATCAATCTTTGCCTGCTTTATTACATAAAGTCCTCTGGCTGTTTTTATCACGTAACTACCGAAAAATTAGGTCTCATTGACAAAGTTTGGCACATACGTATTTTTCATCCATAACTCGAAACATCTCATGAATAAGAAACTGTAAGTACATGCGTAAATGGCCATGTCGGTCCAATATTCGGATTCCAATTTTTTTTTTTAAATTCACATTTAAAGTTCGTAATGGGTTTTAAAGCCTATGACGAAAAACTGCGTATGCAGGTCCTCGTCTTCGTTTCATTCATTTCATTTAAACGACATTTTTCGACGAGATTTTTTTTAAAGTTTTTTAAGTTCCTTCCAAATGGTGGATGGTATTAACAGTTCGTTCCAGCCGAACTTGGGTTCTTCTTTACTTGTTGGCATTTGGTTTTAAATGGAACTTCATCGATCACTAAATCTTGATACTCTTATTTTTAAAGGTTTGTTTGCTCGTGGTAAACTATAGTGCATTGATTATCAGCGAGACATTTCCTCTTTACTAAGACGCCCATAACATAAACAATTTAATTTCTTCAGTACTTGAAATAAGTCCAAAAAACGTTGTTTGAACCTCGATTTTCCGGGCTTCTATATACTGGTTATATCTTTTAACCGGTCTGCTGTTTTTTTACCTCTATTAACTGTGATTTACATCTAATAGCTGTGCTTCAATAATGCTCCTTCTGAAAACCATGCTCTATTAAAAATATATCCATTTGAAATGTTTATCTTATTAAGGCGATGGTAATTTGTTGATGGATGTTCGATTATATTCTCTTTTGAATTGAGCTTTTAGTGACCTAAGGATATGCAGGACGAGCCCAGCTGAGATTAGAATCCATGTTCTCGCCAACGGAAAGTGTTGCTGGCGTCTAAACGTTGTAATATACAACCGAATTTTAAAAACTTCCGAACTGGAAAAGTATGTACATGCATTAAATAAGCATTTGAAACTGGTTTCTACGGTCAGACTATATACGTACTTGGTATTTGTGTACGCATATATGGAACATTCCAAAATTTTCGTCTAGAAATTAAAATAGTATCTAGCAACGGCGAAATACGTCGCCTGATTGAAGCGTGGGACTTCGATAGTTTCCAATTTTCAATGTCATCTGCTTGGGTCATTAAAAACTCAACTCGAAAGAGAAAATTATAAAAATATTTCCGTACGTTTGCTATCAGCTTAATAAGAATGAAGGAAACAATATTTTGAAGTGAAAATTACTTTTAGAAGTGAAATTATGAAAACCCAAATTTGATTTCAAAGCATATGAGTCTGGTATATGAATAATTTCAGGTGAGTTGACTAAATTTAACGACTCTTTCGCTTCATATTACATCTGATTATGAATTTCAAGCGAAATTAAAACTGTAAAGGTGAATTTTAATAAAAAAAAAAAACTAAACATTAATTCGGAATTCGCCAGATTTACCGAGAGGGCGGAGGACTGCCATTAAGTGCCACCCCGACTTCAATGCCAAGAGTAAAAGACTAATGGGGATTCCAAATGATTTGACGGAGGAAAACTCCAAAGACCCTGAATCTCACCTTAGAAGCATGCAGTGTTCTATTGTTTTTTTTTTTTTTTCTTCAAAATAAGAGTAGTTCGGAATGAACGACATAAAATAAAGTTCTCGAACAAGGAATAAAGTGGAAATGCAACCCAAAAAATATATTTATTTAAAAGCTGTAATTTAACTTATTTAAATTAAAACACACAAACTATGTTTGGTATCAACAATTGGTATTAACAAAACACAATACAAATATCAAAATTAATGAACTTAAGAAACAATCTCAATCAACCGAGTTTTCGACATTCTATTTAACCTCTGTCCGGAGAGAACCCTTTCTAGAGTTTTAAACCACATTTTCACTCGGACGTAATATCCAATGTAAGAACTTCGGAAGGCAAGTTTCTTTTTATAGAATGGAAGATTTGTCAATATTTGTCGTAGATCCCATAATATATATAAAAAGTGTGATTTTTAAGAGCTATGGGGAAGTTTAAAAAAAAAAAAACAAACAAAAAATCAGAGCAAGTAAAAATACCCTCCACCTTTGGGTAAAGAAAACATTTTTATATAAAAGTATCTGAATTCAAACGTGTTTCACTTTAAACAACAAATACCAGTAAGACCGTTTGGATAATGTTGTTAAATTTTTCAAAAAACAATAATGTGGGTGAGACCGTTGTATGTGGATCAATGATTGTCATCTACGAAATCTTCTTAAATACCAAATTTGAAACAATTTCGTTGGTAAATTTGA